AAAGAAATTTGACAATTAGGAATGAGCCATCATTAATCTGAATCTATTAGGAGACAGAGAAGGGAAGGATCCTTACCAGTGGGCCAACCCAGTATGGGTAGACACTCCCTATCTCTGACCGGCAAAATCTTCTGGGCCAAGTACCCTTTTGGAGTTCCCACAAGTGTGGGTGGAGCTTGCATGCCTTCACAGACTAGGAGTACAATCCTAGCTTGAGGTGGGTATAGAAACAGACATCTTTCTGCATGGGCCAACAAAGTTCAAGATAGAAGAGTAAGTATTAAATACAAGCCCTGGGGCAAAGTATAACAGTAGGGTAGTTTTGATATGTGCTTACTGTTATGGGAAATGTCTCAGTAATAGTCAACGCTGCTAGTCTCCCAGTTGTGACAGGTATATGTCACATTCCAGCACTTCAGGTTGTGCATGAGACCTGATCTTTCTCAAGCCCCACACATGTGTAGGAATTGGAAAGGAAGCCATGTGAAAGTGGTAGAGCTCAGATCTGCAAGATAGGCCCTGTTGTGAGGGAGAGGATGGACACAGCTCCCCTTCAAGCCTCTCAGCTACACTGGCTTACTCTGGATCAGTGCGGCTGTGGCTGTGGGGACATCAAGGTTCCTGGCTCAGACTAGTGACACAGTGACATAGTTAACTATTAATAAGGTGTAGGGAATCCAGTTTATATCTTCCAATATCCTTGATTTACCTCAACATTCACCCTGCCCCTTCAAATGCCTAAGACAATATTAAATCTGCACCAAGAAGAAGTCCTCATCATTAGTGTGTTCCTTAGATCCCAGGCCCCCTCAAGGGTTGGGATGGGTTTCTGACCCTTTCAAATGTGAACTTCTCAAGGATGGTGCTATCTCACTCCTTGGTAAGTTCCCTACCTCTGTTGTCTTTCAGCCTTCAAATTTAGCAAGGGCTACCAGCAGTGACCCTCTGACCAGTTTTGCCTAAATGGGGTAGGTGTGGGGATGAGAGAAGTAACTCAGAGGTTCCAGAGTCCCGGGCCTTTCCGGTTCCAACTTGTTTCTCTTGGCGTCCTCTTAATGCACCTTTGAGCTTGTTCCCACCCAGGCTTTCAGTGGCCTCTTTACCAAGGCTCTTTGCCTCAAAGAAGCCCTCTGGTGACAAGTTCTGGACAGCTTGGCTCTAGGGTCCCTTTCCACAGGGTTCTCCCTGTTCCCTCTTCATTTCTGACCTCTGGAAGTCTGTTGACTTCTCCCTGGTTAGTCTGTTCTGTCTGCTCTGTCCTCTTGCCGTTCCTGTCTTTACTTGCTGGCTCAGTTTGTTTCACTCTGGTGGTCCTTACTGCTTTTCCTTCCGTCAGCTCTTTAATTAAAGATCCAGGGGGCCCTGATTGGAGCCCAGCTGAGGACCTTGGGGACATTTCTGGAGGAGCAAAGAATCAGAAACTGGTGTCCTCAAGGCCCAGGGGCCTGGCCTGTGAGTAGTGATGCCTTGGAGACAATTGGAGGGGCCTAGAGAGGTAATGGACTTGGTGATGAGAGACTGCTAGAGAGAGGCCAGGCTTGGTAACCAGCCTGGAAGGAGTGAACTTTGTGTTTCCATCTAAATGTGTTCTTGTGCCTTAGGGTCCAGCAGTTCAGGGATGAGAGAGATTTTCTGAATGTCTCTTAATTTCTCTCAGGTCTTTGGCTCAGAGTCACAATGTTTGACAGATCAGTGCATTCCAGAGGTTGCTAGAATGGGAGCAGCATATTGAGTAGGCTGGTGTTGAGAGTGGAGGCCTCCATGAGGAAAGCTGGAATGGTAGGGGAACAAGAGAAAGGAACCCACTGGTCAGCTCATCACCAGATGACCTCTGTTCCTCCAAGAGAATAAGTACAAGAACTGGTTCAAAAAGTCAGCTTGAAGCTGCCCTCCTTCCTCCCTAAAGTCTGGTTTGGAGAAGGAATGTGTGTCCTTTAGCTTTCAAGGGGAAATGGTCTAGTGTTTAAAAGTATGCATTTGGGGGTCTGATGCCTTTGGTACACATTTGTAGCTTGCTACTTACCAGCTGGGTTTGACCTTGATTGATTCTTTTAACCTCTCTGAGTCTCAGTTTCCTTTATTATAATGATATGTGTGTGGGTGTGTGTGTGTGAAAATATCTACCTCAGGGTTTCTGGATTAACTGAAATGATGTCTGTAAAGCTTTAGCACAGTGCCTGGCAAGCACTTAATAAATGGCTGTGGTGGTGGTTAAAAAAAAAAAAAAGAAAACCAATATTCTTACTTTCTTTCTTTTTCACTGCCTCCCACCTGCTTTCCGTCCTTCCCACCCTCCCATAACTCTGGCATAAGACTGCCTAATTAGTGCAAATTACAGCAGATAGCAACTTGACCTTCTTCTTGACTTCACAATCCACTAGTGACTACAGAGCTTTAAAGCAATTTCTCATTTGATCTTCAGAAAAAGACTAAACTTTGCTATAACTAAAATGAATAGATTTGATGACTCATTTTCTTCATACTTTTCCAAATTTGATCTCTTTTGAGGAGGAAATCAACACATCCTAAAGATAATTAAGCCCCGGTCACTGAGAAACAGTTACAGGCAGCACCCCAGACACACACACCCAATGTGTAAGGAAAAGTGAAAAATGACTTCTTTTTGTAAGGTTAACGTTTTCTGTATCTAAAAGCCCTACAGCTTACATTTAGCCAGGCTCTCCTCTGAAAGATACAACCAACTTACATCACATGTAGAAGAAAAATTTCCTAAAAAAAAAAAAAAGATTCTGAACTATTATGTCTCTATTTCCCCCAGCTTATAAATCCCTCTCATTTTTACCTATTAAATTATCTTCAAGAGTCTATCCAAAACAATTATTCAATGCTGTTTAGAAAAAAATCTCTGTATTTAGACAGTCAGCAAAGAAAGGGCCTGGGGTAGGACTTTTCAAGTTTTGTTCATTTTAAGAGGATGAATTCAAAGTGCACTGAAATAAAGTCTTTGGTCCTGTCTCTTGTGAACAGAGAAAGAAGTTATTATGGCTTGAATGTCCCTGTCAATGCTTATATTGAAATTCAATTTCTATCATGTTTTGGTGATGAGCATTCTGCTCTTGTGAAAGAATTAGTGCTGTCACTGTGGAGACACTGTGGGTTAGTATTCAAGAGAGAAGTTTTGCTATGTGAAGCCCACTTTTGTCCCATCTCCTATCCCATATTGCTCTACTACCATGTTTTAGTGTAGTACAAAAGACCTCAATGGATTCTAGCATCATTGTTGTAGACTGTCGGCCCATATAAGTATGAACCAAATAAACTTCTATTGTTTACAATTTATTTACATTTATTTACATAGTGGATTTTAAGTGTGGCCTGAGAATATGTATTTCCCATAAGCTTGCAATTCACACTGACCCTTGGTCCTCAGACCACATTTATGTAATGAAAGACAAGAAAATAATCTGCAACAGATGCTTGCATGTTAGGTATAGATTGTCTATAAGAGTTATAGTTGACACTTTTTGTCCAGGTAGCTCATCTTGTTAACATTGATTTGATTAAAAAACATGTCTCAGCATACATGGGCCCCTGGAGAAGGGGAAAGGGACAAGATTTGAGCAAATTTGGAGCATGAGGGGAGGAGAGATGGAGCTAGGAGAATGAGAAGGGGAGAAGAGGAGGGGTGAGAAAGACATCAGGGTGCAGGAAGGTTGAGTTGGGAGAAGAATAGAGGAGAGTAAGATAAGAGATACCATAATAGAGGGAGACATTATAGGTTTAAAGAGAAATCAGGCACTAGGGAAATTTCTGGAGATCTACAAGGATGACACCAACTAACAACAGAGGAGAGGCTACCTTAAATCCCTCCCCTGATAATGAGATTGATGACTAACTTATATGCCATTCTAGAGCCTTCATCCAGCAACTGATGGAAGTAGAAGCAGACACCCACAGCTAAACACTGAACTGAACTGGAATCCAGTTGCAGAAAAGGAGTGATGAGCAAAGGGGTCAAGACCAGGTTGGTGAAAATCACAGAAACAGCTGACTTGAACAAGGAGGAGCTCTTGGTCCCCAGACTGATAGCTGGGAAACCATCATGAGACTGATCCAGATCCCAGGAATGTGGGTGTCAGTGAAGAGGCCTCAGAAATCTATGGAGCCTCTTGTAGTAGATCAATACTTATCCCTAGCATAGGAATGGGTTTTGGGAGCCCATTCCACATAGAAGGATACTCTCTGAGCCTAAACACATGGGGGAGGACCTAGGCCCTATCCCAAAGGATATGACAGACTCTGAAGACCCCCCTATGGAAGGCCTCACCTTCCATGGGGAGCAGAAAGGTATGGGATAGGTAGGGTGTTAGTGGGGGGGCAGGTGAGGAAGGGAGGGAGAGGGAACTGAGATTGACATGTAAAACAATCTTGTTTCTAATTAAAATAAAATGGAGAAAAAAGAATATCTCAGACATAATGTTAAATTATAAAGCCACTTTAAATGTACTTGCTCATTATTTCTTCTGGTTCTTAAAAAAAAACAAGGTTCTTACACATTATCTTTCCATTTCACAGGAGAAAAATAGACAAATTATAAAGCTTAATTGTGAACACTGAGTTAGTGACAGAACCTGGAATGAGGCCTACATATGCTTTATTCTAAATCCATGCATTTAATTTACATAAAAATATAAGACTATATATGCAGGGCATGGTATTCAGAGGCTTCTACCTGCCATTTTCCCTACTAACTTTGGCCTTACATATAATGGCAAAAGCAAAGTTTTAAAAGACCAATGCTAGAAGAAGGATCAAATTTGTCCAGTCTTACACAAGTCCTTCTGGAGTAATCAGATGAAGACAACAGATGAGATAAAGCATAATCAAGAATTTCTTCAGTGGAGACCATAGCCTCTCCTTAACTTCAAAAAAAGAAAATGAAAATAGTTTGGCCCTGATGGGACATCAGAAATAATTTGATTGGTATTGCTCCATGCCAAGAAAGAAATACTGTCAATTCAGCAATAAAGGTGCCCTACCTTGGGGGATGTAAAAGTACATTTGAGTTTGCGTGGTACTCTTTCATGGGCCATTTCAGTCCATTCAGAAAACATATCATCACGGTAACCCAGGGAAACATCCATGGAAACTTCTGCATTTTCTCCTGCAAGAGAAAAGATGGACAATTTATAAATGATTTTGGGAAAATACTTTGGAAACATTCCAAAATTTTCACAGGCTCTTCTATAGAATCCAAAAAAAAGCAAGAGATGTTATTATCAAAGTCTAGTATGGATTCTGGATCTCTTCCCATAGCCACATTGTGAGTCAAAAACTTCCATTTAAACTCTACTGGAGATAAGAACTTCATTCTCTCTAAGGCAGCACAGTTGGTTAGACTCTGAATCATGATTAAAACTTATCCACCTGTAACTTGTACCACTGGTCTAAAATATGCCTATAAGGGCAACATGGAAACTGCTGTACTTACATATTTCCACACAAAAAGTGCCTTAGATACTTGAATATCTAAGTTCCTCTGCTTTTTTTTTTCTCTCTCAACACTCTTCTTTAGTATGGAAATGATTTGAGAATTTCTACCAAGAGGCTTTGTCTACCTGTATCAACATTGAAATAGTAAAACCTTTAAGAGGTGGGGTTTAGTGGATTTTGATTAAGTCACTGTGGTCTCCACCCTCAAGAATGAATTAAAATAGGAATGAATCATTTCCCACCAGAACAGGTTGCTATAAAAAGAGAAAGTCTGACGTCTCCTAAGACTCTTGTTTCCTGTTTCATAGTTTCCTGATCCCTATTACAAATACTCTCATTATGATGACATTCAACATGTTGCTATGTACCTAGGAGGCCATTACTAGAGACTGAACAGATTGAGCCACTTAATCATGACTTGTCAGTTCCCCAAAAGTGTATATTAAATAAACTTCTTTCTTTACCTGTAGCAGTAACAGAAAAACAACTAAGACATTTAATTCCTTCTGTGCTTACCACTAGACACACTCTTATCTGAAAGCACCCTTCATAAAACTGTACCCAAAACATTCTCACTTATAAACTATAACTCTGAAAGTCAAAATTCCTTCTTCATATTGGACAAAATTAATTCTCCAAAAGCAAAGATTTATGCATTGATATTGAGTATAGGTAGATGTACACATACTTCCACATCAACAGAGACTCTGGTAGGGTTAATTTACTACTTTTCAATAAGATTAGACTAATAAAATTGCATTCATCAATTTTGGGGGATTTTATACCATAGTAAGCAAGTTCACAAATGGACAGTTTTAACAAAGTAAAAACAACCCCACATTTGCACAATGAGTGGAGAACCAGCTACCACTGGAAATTGGGATCAATTCTAGACTGACTACTAGCTGTAAATTCTCAGTATGCTGATTGGTAAAGTAAAATCTAACAGAGGTTAGATTAGTGGAAGTGCTACATGCTACACATTATATGGCACACAATCAAGTTCTACTAAATTAGAATACATATAAGTTACTAGGTATATAGAATAACTGTGATTCTACTTTCCAGTCTGGTATGGCTTAAAGATGACTGACTCATTATCACTGTCTAGTATAAGTAAAGAAGGATTTCTTGATAGCTACATCTTAAACTCCCATAGAGGGAATATTCTGCAAAAGAGAGCCAATTAATAAGACCCAGTCTCAAGCCACTCAGAATATATCAACTGCAGAGTGGGTTGTGGCACAGTACTTCCAACAGGGGGACTGGACTAAGAACTATACACAGAAGGCTTCTGTTCAGTAGCACTTCCTAAGCAAATACTATACTAGAGGATCAGGAAATGCAGAGAACCAGGAAGAAAAGCAACTATTAATATAGGAAATTGTGTGCAGCCACTTCCTCTGCCAACTCAACAAAAGCAATCCTCAGAGCTGGGTTATCTTCTTGCACAGAGACCAAACTAGTTTTAATCACTGCATTCATCAATGCACACACAACAGTCTCATGGTTAATAAGAGAAACTGGCCTGCACTCCTGATTGTGAATTTAATAGTAGAACCATTCTTTCTCACTTTTAAGACTAGCATTAAGAACTAGCACTTTCAGCGATGTTGAAAGGACACTTGGATAATCACTCTACTCAAGAGCACACATTTGAAAAAAAAATGTAGAAGTTATTAGCTCCCTTGGGCTACAATAGTGGCTCACATATTCTTCTTGGAACACTATTCTCCTTGGAAGAATAGAGCATGTCATATACGTGGGCAGGATAAACTCAATTTGGACCTCACCCTGTTAGAGTCCCACTTTTAATGTGGGACTCTTTACCTCCTCCCTTCTTCAAAGGATTTGAAGATTCTAGAGGACAGGAAATGTGCACACTCAGAGCCAACCCACCCATTGCCCTACTATTGTCTTGTGTTACTCTGGAAATACTCTCCTTGGACAACTCTGATCTGATTTTCAGAATTTATATGTTTTTCCCCAAACCTGTTATCCAAGAAGAACTAAATAACCCTGTGTGTGGTCAATAATGATCAAAAGGCTGCTGTTCACAGAAAACAACATACACAGAATTAGATCTCAGAGTTTGAAGTATCCTTGAACAAGCAAAAGACTTCTCTCTGTATGAGATGAGGAGAAAATTAAAGGGTTTGAAAGGTCTTCCTGAACAGTCATATTCTTGCACATAATTTTGAGCAGTACAAGAATCCTAAATTCAAAACTGGTATAAGAGTTCATTATGAAAGTAAATATGTTGTAATTAGAAAGTAGAATATATTTGGCTGAACAGTTTATTTGTCAAATGTATCACAGTGAAACAGCAGATATGCCTTCAGGGACACTCCTACCCTGGGCCCCACAAGAAAAAAGTAGCAATAGGCATAGGTAGAGCAGATATCTCAGGCAGAGAGAAGATCAAACAGGCTTAATTCTTGGCCTGGCCCCAATTTCAACAGTTCTTCTAACCTGATGAGGATGCTCAAAGGAAAAGCAATAAAAATTTTACACACTGTATTAGTATACAATTATCCTGTTTTAAGTAACAATAACCTCTGAGATTTATTTAAATTGCCTAATTCAATTTTCTATCAACTCTATTCACTAGACATTGGAATGTCCTTTTGATTAATAAGTAAACTGGGACTTTCAGATACTAAGTAATAGCATAAAACCATATTGTTGATATTAAAAGTAGCCTTAAAAGAAAATTATGAGGACTGAGGGCACAGCTCAGTAGCAGGTCCTAGGTTCCATCCCTAGAACTGCCAGAGAATTGGGGACAGGGAAAGAAGGAAAGTAGGAAGGAAGGGAGGGAAAGGGAAAGAAGGAAAGGTCTCCATCATATCAGGTACTCATTTCCTCTGTGGTTTTGCTGCAAGAATAATGACTAATTAATTTGCTTCACTATAAGTAATCCTTTTTGTTATATGCATCTTACAACATCATGTTTTATATATTAAATGTGCCTAGAAATTTCTAAAGACCACCACTTGATTTGTATCACTTAATGAAGATTGTCTAACTTGCCGTAGAAAAATGTTCCTCAAATCAGACACAGAATACAGCTTCCATATGAATCATTTCTAGCCCTGCTGTTTCTACTACTTTTGTCATATAAAACAGTAGAATTTGAGGAACATCCAGCAGCAAAATTAATCATGATTCATGGAAGAGCTACTCAACTCTGATCAAAGCTTTCTACTGTGTTCCCAGCAGAGGCAAGACTAAAAATCATCTCTGAAACCATCTAACCTACGCATGGAGTCAAAATATGTTGAACCAAAGCAATACCTTCTCTTTTTTTTGTGAAGAACTTGAGAATTGCAGTGTGAATTAAAGAGCACCAAGTTGGAAGCCTGGGAATACCAGTACCTGTGGTTCTATCTGTCACTGCATATATAGTAAAGACAAACTAATGTGGGTGGGGAATGAGGCTGTCTAAGGAAGAAGCACTGCTTTCCTTCAGTAGCCAGTGTGAAGTGGTACTAATCCATTTTACCAGACTGTCTTATGTAAAGATAAGTCATTTCACCAAAGCCACCCGAGCCCTGCTGCCACATGGGCACTTTCCGTCAGGTCGCCCAAGTTCTGCCCACAGCCATGTTAAGGTCCCAAGTAACACACACACAGAGACTTATATTAGGTACAATGCTGCTGGCCACTCAACTAGGATTTCTTCTTTGCTAGTTCAGTCTTAATTATCATAAATCTATATATTTTATAAGACTTATCGGATAGTAGTGGAAGTGTCCTGTCTTCCCGGGCTCACATGGAGACTCCAGAGACCAGGAGGAAGCGAAAGAACGATTTCCTTCTTGTCCTTGCTTATGTATGAGTCTGCCTGCTATGTCACTTCCTGCCTGGAACTCTACTACATTCCCAGAATCCTCCTTGACTCATGGTCCCACCTAACTTGCTGCCTCATTGGCCAACAGTACTTTATTTATCATCCAATAAGACAAACACATACACAGAAGCACTTCCCCCATCATCTCCTCTTTTCTGTCTAAATAAAAAGAAGGGTAACTTTTATAAAAACTGAAGAAAACTATAGCCATAACTATCTGTCCTCAACTCCATCAAAGACCACAGAAGGATAATATATAAACTCTAGAACTGACAGAGACATCTCGTTGCCTGGACAGTCACCCAAAGTTCCTCTGTAACACTGGGGCATCCATCTTCAGCCTATAGGCCACAGTGTGTCCGGCATACTCCATTTCATCAGGAACCCTTCAGTACTGTCTTGTTTTGACTTATTGTTACAGTCTTAGTTTTTTTTTTTTTAAAGAAAAGTAAAAAATTAAGGATTTCTTAATGGTTTTTTGTTTGTTTTTCTTTTTAAATAAGTGTCTGGTTGGAGTTGAGCACCTTTTCCACAAAGTATACTGCCTGGGTGTCTTTTGAACTCTGTTTTCTAAGACAAAAGTTGTAGGGAAAGCAGGACTTGGAGTGACTTATATGGAAGTTAAAGACTTACCTCTTCTGTTCACTATCATGTGTTCCTGGGAAATTTTATGAAACCTCTGTCAAAAAACAAACAAAACAAAACCAGAACATGTACACATGGACACACATGAAGAAGTGATAAGGAAGCTGCTGTTCTTCTGAAAAATTGAAACAATTCTCAATTTTCTTAAAATTAAGTAATCTGGATACCAAAAA